AAAAAATGGAAGAAATAAGAATTGCACATCCTGTTGATTATGTATTTTTTAAAGTTAGCATTGAGGCATGCCTATATTCCTATGGAATCGATGAATAATGCTATAATTTTAATGACAAAAATGGAGTAAAATAAAATATTAAATAAAAAGTAAATTGACCAGAAAAAGATCTTTTATTTAATCAAAATTGAATAATTTCATTTTTGTCATTATAATTTTAGTCCATACAATAGCGACAATTTTCTTTCTCCTTTTTCTAAAAAATTCTGTTTAAATAATACATATTTTCATTCATAATATTCGTGGAATGTTTCTTAATTTCATTACAGGTGCCAAAAAAATATTACAGGAAAAATAGAACTGCATAAATAATAGTAAAAGAAAAAATACAGAAAAACTGATATAATTCTTATATGCTACAACATTGATTTTATCTTGGCCAAAATGCATCCATTTTGATATCGTATTTTTGTAAATAATGATTTAATATCATTCTCTATTGAACAGGGATTTTATTACTTATTGCCCAAAATTTTAATGAAACAATTTACACACAGATATGTATTGTAAATTACTGAAACTTCGATTTTGATCCATTATGGCAAAGATAAAAATACGATGTAAGCGCAGAAGTTCAAATGATCTTAAGGCCATTTTTACACATGTCTGTAGAAGTGCGTCTTTTAAAGACAAGTTTTTTGACAGCTCCATCTGCCATACTTTGTTGAAACATGCGTCCATTCCAGTTCCAGTCTAAAGAGAGTTAACGTATTATTTCCGTCAATGTTGCAGCACATTTAACGCGTTTAGAAACGTGGGAAGAAGGTCTCAAAAGGGGAAAAAGTAATTTTAATGGGTACAAACTAAATGACCGAAAATAGTGCGTGCAAACATAAGAATGTTATTAAATGTAAGGATTTATGTTTATCACTTTCTTCCTTTCCAATTGTCCTAATTTTTATTTTTGAAAGCTATTTAATTTGTCATAATTTATAATAATTATTGTAATTTGTCATATCTGAGAAAAAAACACATTTATGTACGAACGATTGCCTTTGTGCTTGCTGTGTTTGCCTTGTCATAATCATAAATCAAATACGTTTAACTGATCGAATGCAAATATATGTCTATATATTAACGGAGAGTTTATCGGTTGCAAATACATGGGCAATCGTGAACCCAAGCAAATACTGTTACTTGTCTGATTATTGTATACAAAATAAATAAAAAAATGTATATATACATCAGAAACGGTAGTTTTAATTGTGTAGATTACAACCTATTCAAGAAACTCTTTTGAAACATCTAAAATTTTATTAAGCTCAATTATCAATCCAATATAATTCATATATATTTTTAATGCCGATTTGTGTTGTAACCATATAAATATTACCCATCGTATTTTTATAATATTCCAATTAATCTGATTTTTAATAATTTGAATAATTCAATAATCATTCATAAAACAATTATTCTTGAAGAAACAGAAATTCCTGTTATTTGCAATATTAAAGCTTCGCTTTCTTTTATTGTATCCTTATACATAGCTCGAGTATTTAATAATCTATATATATATATATATATTTATATTTATATTTATGTTCATATATATATATATTTATATTTATATAATAGTATGTATATTCTCGTCACATGTAGGCGTGTAACTCTCCCCATCTTTCTCTTTGTACGTGTATTTTCTCCGAGTTTTACAACAATCTGTCGTGTTGCATGTGTAACTGAGAGTGTAATTCGCGGTGTGCGTATCGTCTATGCGTGTCTATTTATATATACGTATATACAGTGTCGATTGTTCTTAAATATTTCAATATAACATCATCAACCAATAATTTATTTCGCTTAAGCTACACATACAGGGGTCGCGTACTTCTCTCCCCGTTTCTTTTTTTTTTCTTAAGTATCATGCATGCGTCGCGAAAATCACATCCTCGTTTCGCAATGTTCTCTTCACACATTCACATCATCTTTTATTCTTTCTCTCTCTCTCTCTCACACACACTCACACGTGCTCACCTTCTCTCTATCTTTTTCCTTCTTTCCCTGCTCTTTTTTTTTAATTAGTTAACACGAAGTCTCACTCGTTAAACAGCTCTCGAAGACTAAGGACACCCAAAGCGGATCACAGTCTGTCTCTGCACTCGTAGAATCTTAGCCAAACTCCCGGAAAGGAAATTCGAATAAATACAGATTATAGAGGATACACTAACTTCTCGTTTCGTCACGACGAATTCTCGATCCTTCACAATTTGCGATAATTTATGTAGTTGATCCTTAAATACGCATTACATAATGTTTTTTGCAATATTTTATAATAGGTAATTGAGTCTGATCGCAATGTAATTGGTTTTGCCGCCAATTTTTAGATGGCGCGTTTATCGGGGGAAATTACTTTTGTTTTTTATACTACAGTTCTCCTTCGCAACTGGGCAAAGTTATAGCTTTAAAACAGTAGACGATAGAAAAAAATTTTGCTATACAAAATTAAAACTTATCAAATGGCTACGGTGAAATTGTAAATTTAACTTTAAAATTTTTTACATTATAATTAAGATATCTTTTAAATTAATCATCCTCAGACACAAGTACGTTGCTATCTATTTTGTGGAAATAAGAAACATATTGATTGATGTATATTAAAAAAATACTTTAATTTGAAGCAACAAAGGTTATTCTCAACTCTAAAATTATTTCTACCTCTACTTCCAGTGCAGCCACATGTACTAAGTGATGCATTACTTAAAAATCTAATTGTACCTAATGAAATCTTTGTCTGTCATTTATCATTCTAAATCTATGAATTCGTTTGTGAGTGTATGTCTAGAGTTAACGCGTAAATAAGGATCTGACAATAATTCGAGTCCTCGTGACGAAATCTTGGTCCGAATAAACTCAGGATTTTTTTTTTGAGAACTCCAGTGTTCGACAGAAGATTCTTGGAGGAAATTTCTTGTTTATGTTTACATTAACCCTTTCTTGACTGTGTCCCGTAAAAAGTGTATATCTTTTTTTCTGTGGTGCTGGACTTCGTAATTATTACTCGAGCAATGACCATTGCTCGTTATTAAAAGAGTAATATGTATTAGCGAAAAACTAATAATATTTCTACATTATAAACTGTAAACAGTGTAGAGATCTGAAAAAGTTTCGATTCTTTATATTAATCTCGTCACTACATTATTAAAAATTATTTTGAAAGGGTTAAATTACAATTAGATAATATCGTTTCTGTATATAAGTGAGCTGTAAATCTAATTTTACGTGGAAATGTGATCACTGAACACTGGAGAATTTTGCTTGAAACCTGTTGTTATTGTTTTTAGTTTAAAGTTTAAACATTTTTTTCTTTATTTAATATTTACACGTCAAGATATCGAGCGATCTTTTTGGATTAAAGAAAGAAATTTCTTTGGACGCAATTTCGTGGCAATTTCCGATCGATGCGATCGCGCCGGAATCACGGATTCTTTGTTAAACTTCCGCCTAAACGATTTCTTCCATTATACTTGATTTTAACTTCGTAATTATAACCTTTACGAGAAAAGGGATGATAGCACGAAAGGATTGTCTATAAAATGAATGTTAGATTATCATTCGATTTTCATCCTCGAACTTGTTCGAATACTTCTGAAATACGAGTCAAAGAGACTATCATCCTTTTCCAAGATGTCGTTCATACAGTAGTGTTTCGTTAATTGGCCAGACGTCATTTTGTTTGGCTACTTAATGAGAATGGTATGTTCTTAGGAAATCTCAAATATCTTTCATTTCTATTGAAATCTGATGTGATACAAATGATCTGACACATTTATTTATTTTACCTGTGTAATAGCTGATAGTCATAATGTTGGCCATTTAACGAAGCAAACTCTGTGGTCAGTTAACGAGGCACCACGATATCTTTGTATTATTAATTAATATACGTCGAGTAAAATTTTACGTGAAATATTGCGTCTAAATATAATACGTATATAATCGTATTTAAATTTTGCGCAAGATTAACATTTGAAACGTTAACATCGATTGCAATATTATGGAATCTTGTATATTATTGTATCGTTGAATAGAGTGATTAACAAGAGAGACAGAATTGAAAGTATAAAATCAATAAATTGGTCGTCTCTGATATTAATTAAAATAGATATAAAAAGTATCCAATCACCCTTCGTCGAACGATACAAAAAATGATATGCCAAAAATGTAATACCGTTGATCGCATTAAAATTTAATGGTTGATTCGATAATCATCGACTTTCTTAATCTTGTGTCATATTATTCTGCAAAAAACACTGTATAAAAAACATTGACAATCGCTCGTAAAAAAGGCAACGACAATGACTGACAAAATAGAAATAGAAGTCTTCGACAGCTTTCTAATTACTTGTTTTTTTGTAAATCGTAAAATGGCAGTTATTTGTTGATCCATTCTCTAATCTACTCTCTCCGCGGCAGCAGCTATTTTCTTGTAATGTCTCTCGAGCTCTAAGCTAATCGAATAAATACTGGAAGAAAGAAGTATTTCTAGGCTAGTGCTGTCTCGTCGCGACGAGACTTTATTCGTCGCCTTATAGGCCTTGCCGATAAAGCATTAATAACTATAGAGACATTTTCTCGCTACAACCTGATACTGAAACTATATTGTTTAATTCACACTAATTAAATAATAAATTCGAATAGAGATATCGAAAGAATATAAAAACGAATTAATGAATAAGTAATATAGAATTATGTAAATTGAAATGAATTAAAATTGTAGTTAAAATTAAATTAAATGTATGTTAAATAAGTATAATAAAGGAATAAAGATGTGTGTGTGTGTGTGTGTGTATATATATATATATATATATATATAGGTAACTTATTAGATGCGATACTTCTCCTCAACCTCATACCTTAATCTTTATCTCACACACACACACATATACACGTATATACATATATGTATAATATATATATGTATATATATATATATATATATATACATATATATATTATACATATATGTATATACGTGTATATGTGTGTGTGTGTGAGATAAAGATTAAGGTATGAGGTTGAGGAGAAGTATCGCATCTAATAAGTTACCTAACTTTTTAACTAGCTTGCGATTGTATCACTGGAGCACCTCTGTGTAATACCGAAGCGGGTCGAGATTTACGACCACCGGCAGGAGCCGTAAGATTTGTCGATGGTTGTTGAATCGGTTGCTGCGCTATTTGTTGGGCTATTGCCGATTCTCTTTTCGGTACTTCCGGTGGTGATTGAAGAACATCCATGTATTCGCGAATTAAGTTCGCAATTTGGTGTGCCTGCAAATGAAATGATGGTAATATCAGTAAATAATAATTACGCAGTTAAAGAAAATGTTTTAACACTCTAAAAATAATTATTATTCAATATAAAATTTGTGCACTATAATATGAATTCTTAAACAAAAAGAATTACCTGAGATGTCGTAAGGATAACTTTGCTCTGCTTCTTATCAGTACCAGTGATAATCATCAAACAACTAACAGCTGGACTATAACTGAGAATACTGCTATATTCGTAGGTACAGAGAGTGTTTCTGGAACGATGCTCCAAAAGGTGAAGACCTTGCTGGTCGACGGCCAACCACAGAACACGTGGCCAATTCGAAGTAAATGATTGCATGACATCGAATATCGTAGCCCTATGAAGCGGCCACGATTGAATTAAATTCAGGAACGCCTTCTTCGCTTCGGGCGGTGTCATTCCACGTAGTGATTGATGGTGTTGAAGTACTCCTTCAATGCATAAACTTGGAACCAGTCTTGGTGGAAGGCAGTGACTTGATATAGTTCGGTAATCGTGATCCGATACAGCGTCTTCACAATCACCTAGTTCTAATTGCGCTTGTAACGCTGTCAGCATCATCTAAAAACAGATTATAAATTTAGATAATCTATACCATAATTTATTGGATTTTAACGGATAATAAAAAAAGAATAATTATTTACAGCTTCTTTCTCAGTAATAGGAAATCGATCAGCGCGTAAATCATGCAGTACTTGATGATAAAGTAACTCTTTCTCCACCGGATCATCGAGATTCATGTACTGATCAAGGAACAAATGTTTCTTAAATAAGAAGAAATGATGTGCGTGCTTTCTTTGCGATTGATTCTGTTGTGCGTTCGCCGTTCTGTAACGCTCCCATTTCGACATCACATCGGCAATCTTTTCTTCTGGTATCAATGCTCTTTCGGTCGGTCCTAAGACTTCATAAATGGCATAACCTATAAATCCCAATTGAATTATAAATATTTACAAGCCATTTAACAATTAAAAGAAATAACAAATTTAATTTAACTTCGATTACCCATGGCAGTTTCTTCTAAACCAATCTTAGTCTTGATAATCTCCATAACGTCTCTAGCTGTTGCTGAAGGATGAAATTCAACAGCATGATATTGTCCATCCATGAAATGGAATCTCGCATAAATAGGCCTGCGATTAATCGTGCACATTATTTCTTCTCTGCTCGGCGGCCATTGTCTTCTTCTCGTGCCCTGCGTCTTGTAAAGGCACTTTTCAGCAAATCTGGCGTATTTTCCCTCCTCCGTAACGTAATCACTAGCGCATCGTTTCAAATGCGCTATCAGATACTTTCGAATTACTTTCTGTGGAGGTAGAATAACTGAACAGGCCAAAGAAAGTAACGCCCAATGCCTGAGATTGACTCGACTATTAGGATCAGGGTGATCTGTCGTTTGTTTAATCAATTGAAGATACAGTTCACCTAAGAGATTCTCCTTTCTTATACAACGTTCCATCACGGTTTGTATCAAGTTTACGTGTTCATCTTCTACCCTACGAACCGTATCTCCGTTTTGTCCTAATCCAGCGTAAGTTAAAATTAATTGGAATACACTAAGAGCCATCTGTTCATCCGGATCGGGTAGTTTTGAGAGACTCTGAGGTATAGTTTGTCTGCTGAATGCCCAATAGGCATAAGGAAATCCTTTATAGGTTTCACCATGATCAGTCGCGCTACCATGTTCTTGCCTAAGTTTCTCTATCTTGTGCTTAGACAATCTTCGCAAAGTGTTTCTTAGAAAACCACCACCAGAGTCTTGAGGTTTTCTCAATATCTCCGCGTCCACTAGTGTTCTTCGGCAATTGACTAAGTTATGATAGAGCCTAATACGATCCTCGTTGGTAATACACTTGAGCTTCTTAGTAGGAACCTCGTTTTCCGTGATCCAGCCTGCCAATGCTGGACAGTAACTAACGATCAGACTACCTATCTCGTTCTTCTGTGGCGTTTCAAAAACAAAACACTTGTGCGAGCTGTCGGGATTGTGACGTAGAAGAGACAGTGTTATGAAAGAGTCACTTGGGTCTAGCATGATGCTTTCCACATCCTGATAACGATACTCCGATAAGACAAATTTATCATCCGGCTTGATCAGCATCAATCCATCGCAGTTTATACCCAAGATTAGTTGATTGCCATACGACCAATAACCACGATAAGTTACGTTGAACATAGTCGTACCGTAGAGAGGGTATTGCATCACGCAAGATAAATACAACACCTTGGCTGCCAATTCTTTGCGACCGGCGCCATACTGTCTGTGTGCCTGCGCTATGATTGGCACCCAAACATCGTCGCCTCGAGCACGGCTGATTCGATAAGGCAAAAAACTATCCACCTCGCTGTAGTAATCCAGCCGATCGTTATCTTTTGGATCGCCCAAGGCGACTTGCGCTTGTAAGCCCGCCAATTGGAGCGCGACCTTTTCCGATACCGGGAAATCGTCGCACTGAAAAAATGACAAAAGAGAGAATAGGACGTTTACAAGAAACAAGATAAGATCAATAATTTGATTTTTTCCCTCTCTAGTTTACCTTCACAACGTTATATACAGCTTGAGCGTACAGCATGTTCACCTCGACGGGATCTTGGGATATTTCTCGGGTATTTCGGAAAAGCCTTCGTTTGAAAACGAATCGATTATCGCCACTCCCTAAAGTAGCATTATTTCCACGACGAAGTGTTGAAAATGTTGATTGTGCTGTGTTTAATTTGCATTGTTTCCTGAAAAAAGTAAAATATAATAAGACAAGTTATCAATGTAAAATTAAGTATAATGAACTTTGATATAACTGCATAAATATTCGTAGTTTATTAATCGATAATAGTAATCAATGAAAATTTACATTTCCCAAGCAGCTATAACATCATATAGATAATCATGCGCTCGAACATGTTCTTCGCCATCCGGTCTACTTTGGTAAATTGCCCAACCTTCTAAAGACCTGAGACCCAATTTTTCACCTAACTTAGCAACAGCATCGGAAGCAGTATCAGTTGGATGCACATCGATTGCTTTAGTTCTTCCATCCAAAAAGAAGAATCGACAAACTATCGTGCCTAGTCGCCTCATAGCCGCAATCTCTACCGTCGACGGTGGATGTTGTCTACAGGAAACTTTCATATTTTTACAATTATCCACGCACCACTGAACGTATTGCCGTAGTTTGCCCTCGAGAGCCAAATTCTTTCGCAAGAAAGACACGAAATACTTGTACAGTAGTTTACTAGGTTGAAAAGCAACTATAGCCAAACAGAGCAATAACCAGACTCGTTCAGCCCATTCTGGGTTAGGATTGTTAGTTGCTTGTCGCATACATTGGACGAAAATTTCATCTCTTAATTCTTCACGCTCAATACCATAACCTATTATACTTTGAATAGTTGCAATTTCCTGATCTAGTTTCATCTCTCCTCTTATATACTTACAAAGATCCTAAAGATTAAGAAAAAACATTACTTTCAATGTTAATTAACAAAGAAAATAATCTGTACAAATAATTACTTACCCTGAAGACAGAACAAGCCACATTAACGTTATCAGGGTCGTACATATGAATGTGAGAATTCGGTATAGTAGAACCTTTGTAGTAGGTAACCATTTCATACTTTGGGATGAATTCTACGCTCTTGCCACGTGATTTTCTAGTGAGCGTAGCCATGATTGTACCCTCGGGTGATCTTTCGTGGCTATTGAAATAATTTTGCGCAAATTCTACGATATCATGATAAGTAACTTCGTTATCAGGCTCTTTCTTGTCCTCCAATTCTTGAAGTTTACGCTCCACTCTGCATTTGCGTCTCTGTTCTCTCTCCACAGGTGGTTGTTGAGATTGCTGCACCTGCTGTTGTTGTTGATCATGACCATTCTGTTGCTGTTGTGGTACCGGTTGGTGGTGATTATGGTGCAATAAATGGAGACTATTTGAGTTTCTAGATTCCGGTCTCGATGGAGGGCTACCAGCAATCGGTTCTTTAATGACTTTGTTATTTGGTGCAGGTGGAGGTGAACCACAGGATTCACCGTTAACTAATGATCCAGAATTTCCATTGACTAAAATTGGACTGCTAGGACTGTTCTCTTCACGAGGTAAAACAGACTCGTAGATAGGCTCTCCATTATCAATAGAGGAATCGCCACCGTTCATCGTTAAAGCTGAAGCAGGAGGTGGCGGAGGTGGAGGAGGTTCAGTGGGCTCTGGAAGACTCGGCTGACCGAGTTTGCCAGTGTTTGGACAAGGTATCCTTTGCTGTTGCTGCTGCTGCTGTGATGATTGTTGCAATGGCGAGGTAGCTTCTTGCCCATTTGGAGTATTTGCTTTAGATTCCGCTTTTGAATTTAACTCCATTTCTTGCTGAATTACAGTCTCCAGTTCCACATCGAGGTCTTCGACCAATGCATCCATTTGTTCACCAATTTCTTCAATTATCTGATTACCCTTCGTCGATTGCACGTCGGATAAAAATGAAAATAGATTGTCCAAGTCTACAGACTGCAAATCTGAGGCAGCCATTTTAGAATTCATTTGCTCCGCCATCTGCGACAATGCAGCGATCTCTTCTTGCGCTTTTCTGTAAAATGGAATAGCACATATATGAAAATAGCGAAATAAAATTCAATGCAAGTATTTTAATTTCTTAAGCGCACAAATTAGCCAGGTGCCGGTGTATGTGTATGTATTTTGTGGTACTAAACGCTGCATCTATGTTAAAAGCAATTATTCTTAGTGAATTCTCGTCATGCCGTAAGGATTTTTAATTCGCCATTCGAACTACCGACACGTCATACGAACTTACCCGGGTTCCATCCCGACAATACCATTGTACTGTGCGCTATAAAGGACACAAATGGACATACTATTAACACACAAACGAACAACAGTCCTATATGATCGTCACGGCAGTTTGTATACTGGAATAGACGTCCTTTTATCATACAGTTTTAAGATAATATATCGTTATACCTTTGACTTTCTTCCAGAGCCTTCTTATCCTCCATCAATCTTCTCTCCTCTTCCAATCTCTCCCTCTTCCTCATCTCTTCGTCTACTCGTCTCATTTCTCTCAAAGCAGCCGCAACCTCCCTTGCGAATACGCCACGCAGATGACTCTGTATCACAATGGCTGCTCTTCGTTTTCTGATGAACATTATTCTCAGTTTCCAGCCTCGGTATGCATGTTGCACTTTCAGTGCAGCGTCTCTCACGCGTTTATACTCTGGAAAAATTCAAATTCTCTTTAGTTCAAAAATAAGATAAGAAATATATTATGAAAAATTAAAATTGAAAATAACTTACCTCGTCGAACTACGTAGCCTCTCCATATTTTCTGTATCATCATAGCGTTACTGGTAACCATTTGATTTCTACAATCTTCCAGTGGCTCGTGTACATAGCTTCTTAAAAACACTTTAGTTTTGCCTATTTGCCATTCAGTTTCAGGGATACCCTGACTACTGATTAAGCACCTAACAGCCTCTTTCTCGTTATAAGAACGTGATAAACGTGCTTTATCTAAACAACGATATCTCGCTATAAAGTCGTGGAAGGGCATGTGTATAGGAAAGCCTTCCTTCCTGATTCTAATAATATCTAACATGCCTAAATATTTCAGCTGGTCCAGAACCAGCTTCTCGTCATAGTGATTCGACACTTTTTGCATATTTGGCTTGATGCATCTAGCGTACCAGGGTGTGGTAGCTTGAAGAACATCGACCAGAGCCTGCAATTGATGTCTGAAGGAATCACAGAGGGTTGGTTTTCCCTTGGATGTTCCACGAGACATGGTAGTTGCATTTCCACTTGCACGAGCTACCGTGCATCCCAGAAGATCCTGATAAACTGTGATTTCTTGAACAAATTCATTTGTGCTCCTAGACATGAAATCGAAGAACACATCTTGTTGTACATCTCGATTCTTATCGACAAATCCTTCGACTGCGTAAGTAACGCATCCAGCGTAGTGTTTCACTCCAAATTCTTTCTCCCATTTTCGCCTATCGTCTCCTTTCACGTAGCAAGGATGATTCTCGAATTCTGCATGCAAATTGGTCAGGTAAGCTAGGTCCGAGCCTTTCGGCATATGGCACTGCTCGGTCAGTAATTTAAGAACACATCGTGGAGGTTTCTCGATTAATTCCAGGCACATGGTGTTGTCAGTGAAGGTGATATGGGAGTATTGGATCTCTTCCTGTCGATACTGAAATTCAAAACGTTTCACGTGTTACGACAGCCGACATGGAAGGACAAGTGTCAACTAGTCAACTTTGCAACCAGTTTATTTTTATCATTAACCCTCGACTATATTCAGGTGAAGTGTTAATGACAATGTATTACATGCATTTGAGTAGATAACTTGAAACTAGGTAACATGTATAATATATCTTTGTGGTGTATTTCTAAGTATTACATGAAAAAATATAGAAGTATTCAATTCAATTAATACAGAAAGACGACTGGCATCTAGTGAAGTTTGGAACTAGTTAATTTTAAACCCTACAGAAACTCACGTTCTCAGAAACCTACATCTAATATATCTTCAGTTTAATGTTAAATATTACAGATAAAAAATTCCTAAGAATTCAACTGAATTATCTTACTGCACCTTTGACATCGAGGTCAATATAATGTTACCTTAACGGTTACGTAACAAACCCATTATCTCACCCTATCATGTGACACGATCGTTAATCGTGTCACACAGCTGACTAAGTATATAGGAAAACAAGAAAGCTTAGAAACGACTTACTAGTTCCTGTTCCAGCGCGAACACGTAGTGATTGAAAAACTTATGCAGCTTCTCGTTCGTGTAATTGATACACAGTTGCTCGAAGCTGTTGACGGCAAAGTTCTCGAAGCCAAATATATCCAAAACACCAAGAAATCTGGAGCTGTCCTGGCCAGGATTCGTGCAATTGTTTATATGATTGATTAACCAGGCGAACGTTCTCGAGTACAATGCTTTTGCCATCGCATGCCTGTTTTCACGGGCTTCTTGAACCTTCAATGGTATCTCGGTGATATTTCCGCGGACGTTTATCTGTCGTATAAGCACCACTTTGGTGAGATCCTCAACCTGCAGCCCGAGCAAAGGAGCAACCGTACCAACGATGTCAAGGTCTTCTTTAGTTAGTTCGCATCTTTCGCCATCCACGTCCTCGAAGCTCAAATTGCCCAACCAAAGAATGGCAGACAGGACTCTGAAAATACCCTCGCACATTTCCGGCGCGACCTACAAAAACGAAAGTGCCAGTCAGTCGCGGCTAAGGATAAAATAAGTCCTCGTTACTGAAGCAATTTGTAGAGGGAAGAAGGAGAAATGAAATAACAAAAAGAAATATTATATGGGAATGTATTACACGTATTTTAAGGTTTTAGGATGTTCTTTAGTTATTCAAATATTTAAATTGTTATAACAATCAGAAAAAATGACGATAATACAGTTATAAATGTAATAATAAGAAAATTAAATTATTACTGTCATAAAAATAAGAGATGTACTAATTATGTATTTTAACGGAAAACAAATATTTAATAAATATTTGAACTGCTTACTTTGTTTAAAAGTAATTGTTCTAATTATTTGTTTGACTAATAGAAGAAAACATCAAAGAATTCTAGACTGTTATGATAAATTTTCTATTGCTCATATTATAAATAAATATTCTATCATTAATAACGAGTAAAAAATAATTTTCTGACAGACTGAACGTAAATTCTATTCTGAGAGAATTAAGCAGAGAAATTCTTAACTTTTCATCTATATGGAACTGTTTGTACAAACTATTAACACCAATAAATCATATCCTTTGATGATACCACCCTGTGTGTACCGACTAATTACCTGTAGCACGTTAAACGCAAGCCTAAGAGCATCGAGTTTCTTGCAGTCGGAGATTCCATCGATCTTCACACAACCAGACTGATTCAAATACTTGTAGTGGCTTGCTGGCATCAGTTTATATTGTTCCGCGAATTCCTCGTCTCTGGTTCCAGCTTCGACCAGCTGATAGAACACATGGTAATTCCTTTCTCCGCTACTTTGAAAAGTTATACGGCTCTGCTCAAGCAAGTAATCTTGGATGATACAGCCCTTGATCATCCACTTACTGTCGAAGCACACCTGCATAAACTTGCCAAACCGGGAGCTGTTGTCGTTCCTTACTGTCTTCGCGTTTCCTGTATAATATTTTTTGAAAATGAAAATAATTATATTCTCGTAAAGAAAGACTACAATATATAAAGACATTATAGGATAATTATTTAATATATTAAATTTTGGATGATTTTAGTCTGTAGTTCGAAAATATTAAATTTCATAAATTATCAAATTTAGAATAATCACATTCTGTAGTTTTGAATGATTAAACTCTGTAAAATATTAAATATAGGATAATCATATTTTGTGGTATTAAAATACTAAACTTGATAAAATGTCAAATTTAGGACAATTTTCATATACCCATTGTGAAGAGCGATTAAAGAAAAGATAAGAAATTTAAAAAATAAATAAACATGAGATATATATACAGAAATAATTATTTGTAAATTTTAAATCAGTGTGAGACAGTTATAGGAGAAAGTCTAGCCTTTTAATATTGATAGAATAAAACGCGACGACAGAAAACATTTTCACAACGAAGTATTCCTGCAGTGTTTGGTAGCGCATTTTGCCGAGATACAAAAGTAAACGGTACAATTTTTATGATACCCCCTTAAATCTTTTGCCTCTCGTGACCCAGTTTCTACCCCTCGCGCTTTTACATTTCACACCTGACTCGATCTCGGCCTCTTGACTCCGAGTAATGAATCCCCTTTATTTTTAAATGCCATTAGGAATAACGTTCATCGATCCATTTCATAAAAGTCTTCCCGTTTCTATTTTCGAGCGTTGCCTTTGGAACAAGAGAAAACCTCGAGAAAAAAGGCTTGCCTTTTCTTCGGCGACTTTTATGAAAAGTATCCAGCAAACAATTTCGCGACAAATCTATGCTTTCAACGAAGCCCTTCCATTTCTTTTTATTCGAAATCATTTTCAAAGTTTCCAATTGAAAGAAAGTAAAACATGCAATTTTTTCTTAATTACTGGAAATAATATTTAATAACCAACGACTGAGAAATTTCTTGAGAAAAGTGCTTCTAAGAGGAAAAATTGCGACAGAATTGTTAATTCTGATTTTGTAATATTCGTAATAATTGAGAAATTCCATAATAATTCGTGTAATATTTTATTAGAAAACACACTTGACACCTTCACGTATATTTATCATAGATCCTTTTCTCCAGATTAACTCCTCAATTAATAAATAATTCTAACTTCTATAATGTTGTTTGTATTTTGCAATTGATATTTTGTAACTGGTTATTTTTAAACTTTACAAAGATCCTGGGATATTAATTAGTTCTAATTTAATATAAGGTAACTTTCCATTATTAACAAAAAAAAAAAAAAAGAAGAAAAGAGAGATGTAATTAGCTTTTAATTATTTTTATAAGAGACAAAGCTTTCGTGTTGGCGTGACAGGCGAAAAATTCCTAGAAAATTAAGGACAGGCCGTAAACTGTTAGAAAATATAATCAACGGCGACGAAACTAGTTATTAAGGGGAATAAGTTAATTACCGAAAGCTTCGAGGATGGTGTTCGCCTCTAGAATTTGTTGTTCCACCCATGTGTCCACATTGCTGGTCACCGAGCAAAGGTATTGCAAGATGAATTTCGTGGTTTCCGTCTTGCCAGCGCCACTTTCTCCCGATATCACGCAGGATTGATTGCTCTCCGTGTCCTGGAGAGACCTGTACGCTGCTTCCGCCAACGCGAATACGTGTGGCTCCAGAGAGCCCATCTTCTGTCCATGATATCGATTCACGTACTCCTACAAATCAAAAATTTCAATATGATTTAACGAAGACTAAACTTTCCTTTTCCAATAAAAATTTTATCGTTTTCAATAAAACAGAATCAACTGTGTTATTCGTAAAAAAAAAAAGATGTTGAGAATAGACTACCCTGCATTTTTACAAACGGCAAAATTTTATAAATTTATTTGCATACGTTTTTATTAAATAATTATTTTTTTTGAAAGGATTACTTTAACTTTGTACCTGTTATGTTAGAGATAGGATTCTTTGAATAAATCTATCACACCGTTCTGAGCTGAAAAACCTTTATTGCACTTTCTTACATGGTCTAGGGATAAAAACAAAAGAACATGTTAAACCTATCGATTACATCTATCGATTATATCTAGAACTATTTTCTAGTTACTATTTATTGTAACTAGCGCGTCTGCACATGGATGGCGAGCGCGAACTCACGTTGTCATTTTCAACACGTTATTTGTATGAAACAGTGTAAGATTGGTTGGACTTTTATAGAGTCTGGGAGAAACAGCAATGCCATCTTTAGTTTTACAATGTTATTACGACAGTTGGAATAGTTTGGGGTGGTGCGTGATGAGGTAGGGGAAGGAAGACGTACGCAGACAACTCTATTTCCGGCGTGGAAGAACTTTGGTCGACTTGTCAATAAGACTATCTATCTGAGCTTGAAATGTACATGTCATATCCACGAGGAATGCATACGTACTGTATGTAACAGTCGATGTACAAACAAGAACTTGTCACAATGGCGAAAAGATGTAAATTTTAACGTTGCAAGGTTATTTAAATATCAATACTGCTACTTTAGTTAAGATACAGCGGATAAAAATCAAACAGTGCAATTTTGAAAAATACAATTTGCTACATTTAACAAATATTTTATACTTCTACATTCGTCAAATATTTATGACAAAAATTAGTTTGCAAAAGTATACGCAACATCCAAATACTTACAATATTTTTATATTTCATTAATTCTGCTTATAGAAATATAAATTTACATAAAAATCCGTAACGCGGTCGCCATTATTTTATCTAGCTTCGACGTAGAAAAAATCTCAGTACAGAAATTTCTTGAATTCCAATTATTTTAATTATAAATGTCCTTTCTTCATGGCAAAAAATCTGCGATATAGTTCATTAGCCTTAATTACCGTTTGGAACGCATCGGACACGACAAACAGATTCCGATGATCCAATAGAAGGTTTGAATTAAGAGCGATAGCTGGGCTCTGGACAACCCTGGTAACCCGATTAATTGCAAACGTCATTTGATAGGACATTCCACGACCGAGTTCCATTCGGCCCCTTTCATTTGCTGGTTCCCTTGGGAGACCATATCACGGTTCTAAAAGGTATGTACATCAATAGTTCGATTTCAAACGGATCACAGATTAACGCTTCGCCTTTACGTGGCTCGTAAAATGTTCCCTACTGTGCTCGTGAAATCTACTTTATTTAACGCTTCCAGTATATGATTTCTGCCTACATTCGTTATTTTTTCAAACAGAATCCTGTTTTCCATTATAATACAATTTTTTCTTAAATGCAATTTATAAATTTAATATACGATACTGTCGTTTTTTTTTTTTTTTTTTTTTTTTATAAATAAAAAAAAAAAAAATAAAAAAAAAAAAAAAAAAAAAAAAAACAAAAACAAAAAAAAAAAAAAAAAAATAAATTAACAA